TATGCTGCCTTTGCCACCTTTATGCCTGGAAGCTGTTCTAAAATATTCTAATGAGCATGATACAGATTGTCCTAGCTGGCTTTCCTACATGATTATTAGCCCCAACTTGTATATTATATTTTAGAACAAAACTATTTTCCTAGTTTTGATAAATAGCCTTTATCAAAAGGAAAAATAATTTAAAAACATCAGCAACAAAAGAATCATAGAACTATAGTATTATCTATCCAGTATGCAGTACTTCCCAAAACAACACACTTGCAAAACCATACTGTTCCCTACTGCAAGATTTTCTAATATATTATACTGGGTGCCATAACACAGATCTTTCTAATTCGCTAAATGAAAAATGTGTGCATATTTAAGTGTAAATAATGAATTTTACAGAACTAAGTAACTAATATTAGTTTATAAAATATTGCCTTAATGTTTGGGTTTCTTTTACATATAAATTGGTTATTGATGCAGTCTCCATGTTTTTGCTTTTCCTTCTCTTGATTGGGTGTAATGGGTGATTTCCACTGAATATTGAGTCCTTGCATGACTTACAAAGCAGGATGTTCCTGAATCATATTTTATCAATCTTAGACAATAAAAGGGGGGGGGATTGTAGATCTTGTATTCCCTTCAATGTGACATTGTTCCAACTGCTAGTTTCATCTTCATGCATAATAAAGCTTCTGCGCTCCATACAGACTCCATAGCAATGGATGTATCCCAATGCTTTGTTTTGAAATGCATCCACCTGCCTTTAGGATGCTTTGTTAGAGTCTACTATGGTAGTCATGCTATGAATAGTAAGCCTTCATCCCAGTTACCGCCATATTGGGAGAATGCTCACATGCTGTCAAACTTCCAATTGTATTGACTGGCCTCTAAAAGCTTGGCTACATTTAAAAAATTGGTGTGTATTTTAATGTGCAGTTAAAATGGAATATATCTGTAAATATGCAAAGTTAAGGGAGCTAAGTGGAAGAACAATCAGGGTGGTGGCTGTGGGATGATACCATGGGAAAACAGCCATGGGAGACAAGCGGATTCCTGGTATGAAGCACTTTATTTTTTCTCTGCTGGTATGTAAACATAAACTAAACAAAAATCTGGAAAGCATCATATTCCTTATCTTCAGTTTAAAATATACTTTGTGAGAAGCTATTTTTGGAGAATCCATCTAGTATCCTTTACCACCACCACCACTCTCCCAATGTCTCTTTCCCACCTCCCAGTTTATAAAAAGTCCTGAGATCAACTTGGAGGGCATACAGTTAAAGAAATAGACATTCAAATTCTTCCTTCCTTTTTAGAATTCTTTCTGAAGGGAAGCACCCTCTAGATTTTTAACCTGGACAGTTACAAGTCCAAATGTGTGTGTCTGTTGGTCAGGTGGCACACTGTTACCACAACTGCTCTCAGACATGTGTCTTTACTTCATTTACGTTCCAAGGCATACATGTTAAGGGATCCTTGATGCTGACAAAAACACATCGAAGGTTTTATTTACACACACACTTCTTTTAAAGGGGAATATTTGTTGCATACACATCTACAAGTCTAAAGGACAAGACATAACATTCCACAAAGGCAATATAAATCACAGCCAATAAGAATACAAAATATATGGATGAATAAGAACGGGGTAAGGTTTGAGAACTCAGGTTGCAATCCCATGGACCGAGCAAAATCATTCAGATTGATTGATTAATGTGTCATCAAACTGTTTTCGACTCTTAGCAACCCCACTGACAGATTTTCTCCGTGACAATCTATCCCTAACCTGTTCTTTCCCAATGGTGCACCCATTGCCACTGAGGTTGCTTTCTTCTCTTTCATTCCACCTTTCCCAGCATTAGAGCCTTCTCCAGAGAGCTGGGTCTTTGCATAATGTGTCTG